CGCAAGCGAGACGGCAACAATATAATAAGCTCTAAATAGGCCCGAGCAAAACGGTTGAATAAACGTAAAAGAGCCTATATCAAAGATCTGCCATTGACATCCAATTTAGAAAGGAACAAAACCAGTAAGATAATGTACATGCTTCCTTTAGTATTCAGTTTTTTTCAGTGAAGACCTAGTAGTTTGAATACTAATTTTTGCTCAAATGTTGTCAGCTCAAATCTTGCCACCCACCAACCCTAGCCTTACACCTTCAATATTGCCATGACAAGGGCAATCCGGTAAAAAAAAAGACTATTAATTATAGTTCTATCCGTATACGTGGTTGTCGTTACAGGCCCGACTATTAATCTTCGTCGGTAGGGGACTTTAGGTTTGCACTCTGTCTGTCTGTCCATCCGTCAGTCCGGCAAATCAGTTGTCCATTCTTTTTTCTTCATGCATAAAGATATTGATTTGATATTTGGTATATTGTTTTATCATGACAAGTTACAGATCTACTTAGAATTTTGTTTCGGTCTGATGATTTTGTGCAGAGTTATGGTCCTTTGACTAAGAAAATTCACTAAAATAATCAGTTTTCCGCACTTTTTTTGTCATTCTTGAAGATATTGATTTGATAATTGGTATATAGTTTTATCATGACAAGTTACAGTTCAACTTTGAATTTTGTTCCAGTCTGATGATTTTGTGCAGAGTTATGGTCCTTTGACTTAGAAAATTCACTCAAATTATCAGTTTTCCGCACTTTTTTTCGTCATGCTTGATAATATTGATTTGAAAATTGGTATATAGTTTTATCAAGAAAAGTTACAGATCGAGTTCGAATTTTGTTCCAGTCTGATGATTTTGTGCAGAGTTATGGTCCTTGGACTTGGTAAATTCACTTAAATGCAGTTTTCAAAACTTTTTTTCGTCATGCTTGAAGATTTTGACTTGATATTTGTTATATAATAGTTTACACCATGACAAGTTATAGATCAAGTTAGAATTTTGTTCCAATACAATGATTTTTTAACCGGTAGGGGACTATGTATTGTGCCATGCAATACTCCAGAATGGTTGTTTATCTAAAATTTTATGGGGCAATGGATGTCCTCCATCGGACAATTTAATACAATATTATTACATTAAATATCCATTTACCCCTATATAACAACAGGGATTAGGTTAGCGGATGTGTAATTTTCTAATCATTGGAATTTGAACTTATTTACGTATATCCTGTCTATTTGCATTCAAATCAAAAGCTTTATTTAGAGTCGGTAAATATATACAAAAACAGCATAAGATCATCTTACATGATGCTACATGCATAAAACATATTACATGTATACATATTAAAGACATAGAATGCACAATATAGATAAACATATACATTTCTAAAAACATACATATAATGCAATCTAATTAAAATATAGAACTCTGATTTGAATCATTTCGTTACCCTCTTAAGATTAAGAGTTAAGATGGATCTGAATTTTAATCAGATTGATACATATGTCCATAGATACATGTCATACACAAGTCATTTCATTCATTTTAACGAATTCGAATTAAGCACATATAGTATATGTGTATAAAAAGCTACATTTAGCACCAAAACATTATATTTATGCACTAAGCTTAAGCAGTAAAACCCATGTGTCTTGCATTAGGCTAAAAGCATTAAAAATTAAAAAGCACAGTTCTTTTGAGTACATACAAACATTAAATGAAACCAAGATTTGTATAGTAAATAGGAATAGTTAATAGGTATACTATCCATGTCCCTATACTAAAAGTCTTAGTACTATAGTGTTGAAATATTCAAACCAGTGATCGCTACAAAGGATAATGAATTTGTAAACTATGTTGGAGACAAAATGAATTATGACAATAAAAAGAAAGAAATGAAAATCTGGGAAAAGGATACGTAACAATTTATTATGCCTCAGGTAATATAGCGCACCTTATAAGAGGTGTATTTCAAATTCTGGGTCGTTGGTGTTGACAATACCATATCTGCAAAATGTAAAACAAAAGTTCACACGCTGAAAATGTCTTGCCTGCTTTACAGATCATTATTGAATTATATACCGAAAGTCTTTAAAATAAAGGTTATTTTACAGGTAGCGCATATCTTAACATTATCAATGACCCATGAAAATTAGGTCAAGGTCAGATGAACACAAGCAGATGGGCATGTACACAGTACAATCATTCCATACAAAAAATAGAATTGACCTATTACTTATAGTATCTAATAAATGGACCGTCAAACCACGAAAAGTAAACGTTGATAAATGAGCCATGAAAATGAGGTATTAAAACTTTATGATCAGATGAACCCCATCAGACGGGCATTTACACCTTACAATCTTAAAAGGTCTATTCTTGAAGTATCTGAGATACAGACTTGACCAGTCTATTCTTGAAGTATCTGAGATACAGACTTGACCACAAAAACTTAATCCAAATCTTTGATACATGAAATGAGGTCCAGGTTAGGAAACCCCTATCTGACAAACATGTAGACACTACAATGATTCTATATACATATATATACCCACGTGCACTTGTCTCTGAAAAAAAAAAATATTCATATATACTTCTATATACATATATATATATATACCCACGTGCACTTGTCTCTGAAACAAAATATTCATATATACCTTTAATAGTTATATCAGAGATATATAATACAATATGTATTATATGTCTCTGGTTTTATACATATATGGTGAAAAATTTCAGAGACAACTCCCTCCGTATAAAGTTGTCCTATCACTCATCAGGTATCCAGGGGGGGGGGGGGGGGGGGGGTCGAGTGATTCATACGAACCCAGGCCTCTTTTTAAAAGTAATAAGCACTATTGAAGTCGACATCCTGTTTGAACTGTGACTATTAAAGTTGAGATTTTATTTGTCGCGAGTCAATGTAACCCCCCTAAAAATTTCCTAGCTACGGGCCTGCTCAATATAAGTAAGAAAATCATGTGATGAAAAACGGTTATTTTAGCAGTTGCTAAAACCTGAATATGAGGTCAGGGTGGCGTCACTAATTTTTGTATCTGTGTACAAAATCAAGTATCAAGGTCTTATACCATCTGAAATATAAAGCTTTTTACAAATCTTAGTTTGTGCCATAACACTAGCATACCTATGTTTCGTATCCTGCTAATTTGGTCACATGATGAAATCTCATGAATAAAGCATTTTGCCTTTTATTGAGCTCTCTGATTGGTCCAGAAAGAGAGGGTATTTTGATACGAATTTTCAAGATAAACTGAATAAGGAGATCGGCTATAAAAGGCCTCGACATATGAAACAATTCAATTGAGAAAACTAAAAGCCTAATTTATAACAAAACAATTCACGAAAAACAAATATGACAGACATGAACCAACGACTACCACTGAACTACAGGCTCCTGACTTGGGACAGGCACATAAAGAATGTGGTGGGGTTAAACATATTTGTGAGCACTCAACCCTCCCCCTAACCTGTCACAGTGGTTGAAGGTTTGTTACAGTCACAACAATTATGAATAAAAAATTCTTAACGTGATAAAATAATAATCTATAGTTCTGAGTTAAAAGTAGTATAAACTAAAGAAAAATATAGTGACCCACAAATGTAAATAATTGTGAAATGCACTAAAGTAACGGTTCCTGACTTGGAGCATGTATATTTTATAGTTTTTTTTGTTGTTTTTTTTTAAAGGGGGGCCAATACGCCCTCACCTGGACCCGCCCCTGGTATTATTAACTTGAGAGTTGTCTAATGGATACAGGTAACTCTTTAAGGTAGATAGGGTGTCTTCCTCCATCTTGGATTTTGAAATACCAGAAAACAATCGGTCTAGATCTTTAATAAAAGGTGCAAATTTTGAGAGTAGTAGTTAATTCATGTGTAAGAATTTTCATTTCAATATAGGAAATGACATATTTTGTCATATTTATAGTTGTATTTTACAAAAAAACAGAATACTTTTGTTTGAATCTATTTTTTCCAACTTTGCCACATAAGGGGAGGCAACTCAAATGTAAGGGCAGATAATTCAGATAAAGTTACTTTTACAATGGAATGTGTTAGGAATTTACCTATTTTATTATGTAGCAAGAAAACGGGTTCCGTGACCCCATTTTTTCTTTTTCTTATCTGAAAGCATACTATTAAAGCTATCTTCTCATATTTTATCTCAAAATTCTATGGTGTAGTTATCGTTTTATGGCAGAAAATTGGGTTTTCCATGCATAATCCATACAAAATCTGTCAATTTTGCACAACCTGTAGCGTGAAAATAAGCCCCGTGACCCATTCTTTTTATTATTTTTTTTTAAAAAGCATGATATAAACTACATTTTGGCAAATTATTAAAAAATTCTATGGATTATAATTTAGACACCCCATCTACCTTAAGCGTGTACAAAAGTGATATTCTTTTATGATATGATCTAAAAGTACTTACTGATTCAAAACTGATTACTAAGTATACTGGTTCAAAGCCAATTCCAACTATGTAACAAATGGTGGTCTTGTTCATTGATTTGCTTCCCAACTTTAATTTTCACCTATATCAATTTCGAGACAATTACATTTCATATTTGAAGTTTTGGTTTCCAACCCGAGTCAATTTCATAGAGGACCTTTCACGAGACATCGGGATTGGACCTTAATTTTTGCGGGAATTTGGGATTGGGCCTTTATTTTTGCGGAAAGTCGATATTTACACCTATCTGGACTCGGGACTCAAATTGCGATTTATTTTTTCGGGAATTCTGGATGACATCCCCTCCTACCCTTGCCCCCCCCCTTTTTCTTGATACACGAAGTTATTTTTGTCTTCAATTCATAGTTCTTCATTGAACAACTGAAGCATATTTTGAGAAAAAATAAAAACAAAAAAATTCATAACCAGACCTCATGCAATGAGTCCTGGATTATTATTTATTACGATTTTAAACTGATTGAAAAATATATACACGTGTAAGCGTACTTTCACTGTTACATAATGTATGTACGCTGATATGTACAAGCTATACAATCAGCAGACGGAACCGTTTGCTCTTGTGAACATTGAGGCATTTTATGTTGACAATCACGAAATACTACGGTTCAGCAGCTACAATAAAACTACATCCTCATGCGAAGCGCATGGACTTAAAATAGGTCATTAACCCCAAAACCAAATGACTGTGTGTATGGTTATCTGATTGTGTAGAATGTGATGTAATTATTTAAAACCATTCTTGTGTAACAGGTAAATGGAAGAATACCTTTAAATAGCTAGTGGTCAGGATTAGACGTATAAACAAACATGTCTGATTGTAAGTTAGCGCTTTAAACGACGGAGTCCGTGGTATAGATTTACAGTTGTTTTACCGTTCTACTCGGAAATTAATTCTCGAAGGCCTTTACTTTTTACATTGAAGATAGGGTGCGGAATTTAGGTCGGTTGAAGCAAGACATTTCTTTGTTAATTGTGTTTCAGTTTATGCAGAGAATATAGTTGCCCTGGATAGATTACTGTTCATAAAAGTAAGTAAACAAATATTTTTCATATATATATGGTAGAGATTAATTTTTCAACCGTGACCTGTGTGCCATGGCGGCTTTATAATGTGAAAGCAAGTGTGACCATTAATTCAATGCATGCCATATTTGACTGTTTTAAAACAAAGCACACAAATGACACAGTCATGTGCTAATATACATATTATGTAATCATCTTTTTCATTGAATTAGAATGAAAAGAGTGAAGGATCTTGGATCTCTTAAATTTCATTGAAAGTTTAAACCGATATTCTTTGGTTTCTAAGCAACACGACGCTTTAGTTCAATCGATTTTTATACTACTTACCTATTAAACGAAAGTCAACCTAAATTTTTATACATAATCGATTTAATTTTGATATGTATATACTGTAATGTGTAGTTTTTAATTTGAATTTGATATCAATAAACACTGATTGAAACATGCACAACAACACTCGCTTTTCATCCACGATCTGGTTTGTCATGTTTGTATACCTGTATATTTCTTATTGACTATCTGGATTTTTTTTTATTGAAAAATAGGGTACCAGATTGGTACCATGAAATGATATAGTTATGATTTAAATCATTAATCATAGAAGTTCGCGAGGGTCCAATATCCCCAGAACATTTTAACCTATCGTATGATATTTAATTACCGTTCAAGGGTTGAAAACTAGGATTTAATTCACTCCATAGTTCAATTTTGAACAGGAAAATACTTGTTTTGATTTAACATTATCTGCTTATTTTTTTCCTGATCTTTACACCCATATGCAGGGTCAAGGCAACACACACGTTTTATTTACACCAAAGATATAGCACATTAAATAAACAATCTTGTAAAGTACACATGTTTCTAACAAATATGAGCTAGCATGCGATCTGAATTGAGTTATGATTTTTTTTGGGGGAAAGAGATGATAAATAACAGTTATCATAATCATAAGCCACTTGCCAGGAAACGTGTACATGTAAAACACATGACATTCTTATTATTAAAGAATAGAACGTGACCACTTTTGAAGACATGAGTACCTATTACACGGGAAATTCGATTTTAAAGATCTTGACAAGGAGATATTTAAATCCGGGATGAGTTACCTCTTCAATTTTAAATGTATAATTCTAAAATGTCATGACATGTATTTTTGTTTTTTAAACACACATATTACATAGCAATATGACATCTCCTTTTAATCAGCTATTTAGTCACTTGTATACAGCTATTTAGTCACTTATATACTGCTATTCCCCTACAGACATTTGTTGTGGACTGACTCAGAATGACCAGGTGAATTCAAATTATTTGTTTCCTTCTAACACAGGGCAAAGGATAACTCTTGACTGACTAGTAGAGACATTGATCTATATGTTTTATGGAAATCGACATTTTTTTCTTCCGGATTTCACGTTTAAACGGAATTCTGCTTTTGATTAGTTATAGTCCTTTTTGATCAAGATTCTACTAAATTTTGGGTGAGTAGCAATCCTGATCGATTACTTTCGTTTTGGTATCACAAAAAACTAAAACATTTCATTCCATATTGATTAGGAATATAATTTCTGTTGTCTGCATAAATTATACTATTACGTCCTACATTATGACCTTGCATGCAGCCATGAAACTGGTAAATATTGGTGTTGTATTTAAGTGAGTCTATTCTGTTCATAATGATCAATGTTCTTAAATTCGTTCAAATATATGCAGGGTTAGCCCTCAACAGATCAATTATGAATTTAAATGGAAATTTCTCATCGTAAGATAAATATACTTTATTTATCGTTCTCCGATCATGCCGATAGGGACGTTTTCATTATTTATTATTTTCAATTATAGTGGTGATAAGTAGGTATTTTCCGAAAGGGCAGTTAATTTTTTAGAAGTTCTGGGAGAATTAGCTAGCCCTCTTTCCTTCCCAATTGGTCCTTTTTCCCTCTCTGTTCCGACTTCCGCTGTCCTATCCTGATCTATCCTATCCTCAGCTCTTCTACCGCGTCGAAATGCTTGACTCATTTTATTGGTTCTTTGTCTTTGAATCGTCTATGGTGCAGTGTGTCTCGGACACAAAATGTTAATGTCCTCTTCTAGGAGTGTGTGAATATTGATTTGCAGTAAAATTACATGTAAAAATAGCCCTTTGAGGAAGTTGGATTATACATAAATTCAACAATGCACTTGTACATAATATGAGTAGAGAGAATCGTATTTTTTAAGTGCTTAGTCCTAGTTCTGACTGGACATTTTTACTTTGATCACTTCAAACCGTATAGAGGAAGTCTTTTGTCAAAACAATTCTATGGTTCTACGACCTTTGTCATAAAACATGATAGTAATTAAAAATACCCCTTACAAAGACATTGTTTTTACTTCGTTTTTTATCGTACTCATGTGGTTATGACTTGAGAACTGGAAGTGATAGAGACATGTGGGTCTTTAGTAATTATCATGCCGGGACCATATGGTTAAGGTAAATTTTGAATGGACCAAAAGAAGGTGGGGGTCTACCGTGAATAGAAACTTATTGTAAAACAATTTTGTTCTGTGTAAAAATTGTAATATTATATTTATTCTAATTATTCCTGTATCAATGGGAACCACATTTTCACTATTATTATAATTTGTACTTGGTAGCATGACAAATTAACTCAATTCCAAACAAAGGAGTAAGGGCATTAAGGCCCGGTTTTGGCCCAAGAAAATAAAATGTTTGACAACTATACCAAATTGGCACATAATGTTAGGAAATGCATAGAGTCAAGAAATGTAAATGAAAAACATAAGATTTTTTATCTGATGACGTCACAATTAAGTCATACTATGTACCGTTTCCATGAAAATGATGAAAATACAGAATTTAAGCAGTTTTCCATTGTTATTTCCATTGTGGAGACATCGTGCGCAGCCAAGAAACAACAAAATAATTTAAGAGAAGCTTTATTATAACTATTGACATAATCTCACCAAATATAAAGTTGTTTCTTGGATGTGCACATACTTTGCCAATCTAAAATATACTTAAAAGTTGAAGAAAAACAAGGAAAATCAAGAATTTTACAAAATATAAGAATTTCGTCATGGTTTGTTACCATGGTTACTCGATCAATGTCAAATTTGTTTTTATTTTCTGAATACCTCATACCTTAGTCTAGTTAGGACAAATTTAAGAATATGTAGGATAACTTTCAAATTTGCAGTAATATTTGGGCCAAATAAGGGCCTTATTGCCCCTACTCCTTTCATAAAAGATTCCCAACTGTTGTCCGATGTTTCTATATGGAACAACTGGATTTCAAAGGATGCAATTCCAGTTTTGGTAAATTTCCTGGAAGTTTGTTATATAAACATGATAAATATAAAGTGTGAAAAGCACCAATCAACCATGTGTTGTTAGAAATAGTTGACATGGAACTAAAGAATGTGATTCCAATTTAGGTAAATTTATGGAAGTCTCTCAGAACAATATTGATTTGTAGAAGCACCTATAGCTACTAAGCAAACATACATATTGGGAATTGTCATAATAAGATTATTACCTAAACTTTGACATGGATCAATTAAATTTCAAAAGGATGTGATTCCATTTTTCGTAAACGTCCTGGAAATCTTTAAGTACATAATGATTCAGATAAGCACCTAGCAAACATATATTTTGGGAATTCTTATGACCCAAACTTTGACATGGAATAAATGAATTTCAAAAGAATGTGATTCCATTTTTGGTAAATTTCCTGGAAGTCTCTAAGTACAATAATGATTTGGAAAAGCACCTAGCAAACATATATTTTGGGAATTTTTAAGACCCAAACATTGACATAGAACAATTGAATTTCAATAGAATGTGATTCCAATGTTGGTAAATTTCCTGGAAGTCTCTGAGAATGATAAAAAATTGGAAAATCTCTTTAATACATATATTTTTGGAGGCATAATGATCACAACTTTGACATTGAGCAATTGATATTCAATAGGATTTGATTCCAATTGCGGTAAACTTCCTAGAAGTGTTCTTCCAAGCAAACATAGATTGGGAATTATAATGAAAAAAATTAAAAGGAACAAGTCAATATTAAAAGAATGTGATTCCAATTTTGGGAAATTTCCTTGAAGTCTAGCTGAACAATATATAAATTTGAATCTAGTAACCATATATATATATTGAAGCATTTATTGGTTATGACCAAAACTTTGACATGGAACAATTGAGTTTCAAAAGGGTGTGCAGTTCCAATTTTGGTAAATTTTCTTGAATTCCTCTGAACAATATATAATTTGGAAATCTAGCAACCATATATATTTTGAAACATTTATTGGTTATGACCAAAACTTTGATGTGGAACAATTGAATTTGAAAAGGTTAGCAATCCCAATTTTATTAGATCAATGGAAGTCTTAAATAATTACTATTTGGAAAATCCCTTAGCAACCATATATTTTTTTGAAACATTATGACCAAAACTTTGACACAGAACAATCAAATTTCAAAGGGATGTGATTCCAATTTTGGTAAATTTCCTTGAAGTCTCGCTGAACAATATATTAATGAGAATCTTAGGCAACCATATATATTTTAAAACATTTATTTGTTATGATAATACTTTGACACGGAACAATTGAGTTTCAAAAGAGTGTGGTTCCAATTTTGGTAAATTTCCTTGAATTCCTCTGAACAATATATAATTTGGAAATCTAGGAACCATATATATTTTGAAACATTTATTGATTATGTCCAAAACTTTGACATGGAACAATTGAGTTTCAAAAGGGTGTGGTTCCAATTTTGGTAAATTTCCTGGAAATTTCCTAGCTAACATACATTAAGGGAATCTTTATGACCTTAACTTTGACATTAAACAATTGAATTTGAAAAGGTTATCAATCCCAATTATATTAGATCAATGGAAGTCTTAGAATAATAACTATTTGGAAAATCCCCTAGCAACCATAAATTTTTTGAAACATTATGACCGAAACTGTAAAATAGAACAATCTGATTTCAAAAGGATGTGATTCCATTTTTGGTAAATTTCCTGGAAGTCTCTTAAGTACAATAATGATTTGGAAAAGCACCTAGCAAATATATATTTTGGGAATTGTTATGACCCAAACTTTGACAATTTGAACCATTGAATTTCAAAAGAATGTGATTCCATATTGGTAAATTACCTGGAAGTCTCTGACTATGTCTGAGAACAATAGTAATTGGAAAAATCTCCTAGCAACCATATATTGTCTGAGACATTATGACCACAGCTTTGACATGGAACAATTGAATTTAATAAAAAAAAAATGAAATTCCAAATTGGTCATTTTTTTTTTAAGTCTTACCAAACAATTCAAGGAAATTTACCAAAATTGGAACCACACCCTTTTGAAACTCAATTGTTACATGTCAAAGTTTTGGTCATAACCAATAAATTCTTCAATATATATATTTTGGTAAATTTCCTGGAAGTCTCTTAAGTACAATTATGATTTGGAAAAGCACCTAGCAAATATATATTTTGGGAATTGTTATGACCCAAACTTTGACAATTTGAACCATTGAATTTCAAAAGAATGTGATTCCATATTGGTAAATTACCTGGAAGTCTCTGACTATGTCTGAGAACAATAATAATTGGAAAAATCTCCTAGCAACCATATATTGTCGGACACATTATGACTACAGCTTTGACATGGAACAATTGAATTTAATAAAAAAAATTGAATTCCAAATTGGTCAATTTTTTTGAAGTCTTACCAAACAATAATAATTGGGAAATCTAGCAACCAAATATTTTTTGAAACATTAAGATCAACTTTGACATGGAACAATTGAATTTCAAAAGTATGTGGTTCCAGTTTTGGTAAATTTCCGGGAAATCTCCTAGCAAACATATATTATGGGAATCGTTATGACCTTAACTTTGACATTGAACAAATGAATTTTAAAAGGATGTGAATCCCAATTTTGTTAGATCTCCTGGAGGTCTCAGAACAATAACTATTTGGAAAATCACCTAGGAACTATATATTTTTGGTAACTTGATCCAAACTATTACAAGGAACAATTGTTTTTCAAAAGGAAAAGATTTCAACTTTGATAAATTTCTTTGAAGCCTCCTAGCAAACATCTATTTTAGGAATTGTCATGACACAATCTAGGACATGGAACAATTCAAGTTCAAAAGTATGTGACTCGTTTGAACAGTACTAATTGTCATTTGACGTTTCGAAATGTACACAACATACAGTAATTAGACCTTTTAATATTTCAGTATGTTCAATTGCTTAGAAAGATTCATCTAAAACCTAAAGTAAAATGTTCTGAGTTAAAGTGGTAAAATAATTTTATGATTCAGATGTTTAACCAAATGTTTTATTGTTTTACAGGTCTAGAATAGTTATCTGCATTCATCATGGAGACAATTCTTGGATGGATTGAAACCAGTAGTAGCTGGTTTCTTTTGGACTTTTATAAGCCAGATGAGCTCAGTAAAGAAAACCCAGGTTCATACTTTCCAAAGACTTCCGATATGTTCTTCCAATCTATTGCATTTGGCTTATTACTTATATTAGTGAGATGGATTTTGGAAAGGTAAATTTATGTTTGATGAAATATGGTTTTAGACTTGACATTAGGCAATTTGCAACAATAAATCAGACAGCCCTGTTTATTTTAGCTAAGTGATTAATTTGTCATTGTTGATGAATTGAAACTTAAAAAGCATAAAATATATAGAATAATTCTAGAAAGAAAAGATTCAACCAAACATTTATGTAACATTGTAAGATAAAAAAAAATAAGAATTTTTATATAATTGTGCAGTTGCCAAATGTTTAAATAATGCGGACATAATTACTCTAACCTTTCAGTAATGAGAAATTCTGAAATGTTTCATTATAAAATACTAAAGTATGTTCTGAAAATTTTGAAGATTTTGAAAAATTAAAAGACTTCATTTCACACAATCAGTTTGGTTTAATAGTCCTATGCCTCATCACCATAGAAACATATCCTAGTTGAGGTTTTTGTCTCGTTTCGCCGCAGTATGCGAGACATAGGTTTTACTATCTGGGGGCATAAACTATTTGTATAAAGCTTTATATTTTCAGAAGGTAGACGACCTGGATGCTTCATATCTTGTATGCAGATACCTTATGTTATAAGTTTCCGTCAATCATATGTCCATTGTCCTTGACCTCATTTTCATGGTTCAGTGACTGCTTGAAAAAAAAATTGAGTTTTTTTGTCATGAGTTAGTATGAGTAATAGGATAACTATATTTGGTATATGGGTTCCTTGTAACATCTACATGTCTGTCAGACAGAGGTCACCTGACCTCAGCCTCATTTAATTGATCTGTGATCAAGGTTAAAGTTACGTGATTAGGTCCGTTTCTCAAATACTATAAGCAGTAGGTCAACTAAATTTGGTGTATGGAATGATTGTAATGGGTACATGTCAGTCTGTCAGGTTTCATCCGTCCTTGACCTCATTTTCATGATTCATTGGTCAATGTTATTTTTTTGTGTTTTGGTCTGTTTTTCAAGTACTATAATCAATAGGTCAACTATATTTGGTGTATGGTATGATTATAAGGTGCACAAGTCTGTATTGTAGGTATCATTTGACCTTGACCTCATTTTCATGGTTCATTGGTCAATGTTAAGTTTTTTTGTGTTTTTGTCTGTTTTTCAAGTACTATAAGCAATTGGTCAACTATATTTTGTGTATGGAATGATTATAAGGTGCACAAGTCTATCTTGCAGGTATCATTTGACCTTGACCTCATTTTCATGATTCATTGATCAATGTTAAGTTTTTTTGTGTTTTTGTCTGTTTTTCAAGTACATGTATTATAAGCAATAAGTGTACTATATTTGGTGTATAGAAAGTTTGTAAGGTGTACATGTCTGTCTGGCAAGTATCATCTGACCTTGACCTCATTTTCATGGTTCATTGGTCAATGTTAAGTTTATATGTGTTTTTGTTTGTTTTTCAAGTACTTTAAGAAATAGGTCAACTATATTTGGTGTATGGAATGATTGTAAGGTGTACATGTCTGTCTGGAAGGTATCATCTGACCTTGACATCATTATTATAGTTAAATGGTCAATGTTAAGCTTTTGTGTTTTGGTCTGTTTTTCAAATACTAATAGCAATAGGTCAACTTTATTTGGTGTTTACAAAAATTGTAAGGTGTATATGTCTGTCTGACACAATTTATCTGACCTTGACCTCATTGTCATAGATTTTTAAAAATGTGAAGTTTCTGTAATGCTTTTAGTAAAACCTTTACCTTTAAGACTTTCAACATAAAATCAATGGTTAGTAAAACAGGTGAGAGTGTGCACTCTTGTTGTCAAACCTGCTTCAACCTTAATTTATATGGAGAACATAAGTACTGTGAATTATCACCAGGCCTGGCTAATTGTTTGTTTTCACATTACCTACTCTTTATTTGTCTTATTTACGGAGAACTTCTGATGCTAAATTCTGTTGCACAGATCAGTGATTTAATGTTGTCCCAGTAACATAATTTAGTAATTTTTTCTTCGGATTAGCACATGTTGCATTTACTGGCACAATATTGGAAATTACATAAAAACACCAGTCAGTCATTTTCTTGACTGCAGATGGTATTTATTTCCCATTATAAACTGTCACTTTTAACATTTCCCTGTTTATATCATAATGAATTTAGTGCAATTTTGTTATTAATGACTCTGTAATATTGAATTATTTAGAAACATTAAAATATATTTATGTGAAATATGAGAAGTAGATAGCTATCAGTATGAGTCTCTTAATATAAACATTCCATTTCCTGTAGGTGATCATCTTCGCCAGCCAAGAGGAGGGTGCAAGATCATTACCCTTGGCTAGCGAATATGATACATGTAGGTGATGTATACCATAGATGTATATATATCTATGTGTATACGGTACAAACTTTTCTCTTGAGAACACAAAACAATTTCTATTCTTTTTATGTCCAGGCATTATTGATTTAAGGTCACATTAACATGAAACTTAGTACACATGTTCATTATGATTAAATTATTCTATATATAACAAATTAGGGTTTTGATCCAGATTTCAAGGTTCACTGAAGATGGAAATGTGATAGTGTGAACGGGAGCATGTTGTCCATAGGACATATATATCCTTGATTTTTTTTATTGTTTGGTTGCTATGTCATTGAAGGATATTCAAATCTGATTTTCTTCACTATTCAAAGATATCACTGCAAAATGTATCCCCAGCTAGTCACATGTTTATTGTGAGTTGAACTTTTTGAATTATATGCCAAATTTTGATTTTGACCTCAATATCACAGTTCACTGAACACAGACATATCATTGTGCGAACGATTAGCAGGGCATCATCTGGAGTCCTATGGACACATATCATTTTAAAATTTATTTTTTACAAATTGTAGAAATAGATATTCATATAAGTTAAAGGTATAAACCAGTTTATGGAATAAGTTCATTGCTTTGTAGATCAGTATTTAAACCGGTTGGAATAATTTGGGGTATAAAAGACAAGAAAGTATATAAAATAGCAGACATTCCAGAACTTGAAAAGGCTTATAACGTATCAAAGACACTTCCACATAAAACTGTACAGGTATGTATACACTGCATAAATTACAAAGTATATATTACACACAAATAATATAATGAAATAAGAATTAACAGACTATTAAGGATGTAGTCATGTCAGGTTTAGGAATTTTTGTCAGATGTTAGGACTCTTTGGGTTTTTTCCTACAATACAGGGTAAAATATTATGCCCCATATCACCCACTTTTCTTTTCATATAAGACTTCAATTGCTTCCAAAAGGGCATTTGCCAAAATGTAAGCAGAATCTATATTTCTTTTCTTACGATTTAAGACCCAAATAATGCCAATGCTAAATATAAGCTAAATGTCTGATCAGCCTTTTCCTGCCACTTTTAAAAAATAAAATATCTCGAAAAGAAGTTTCATAACCTATCAATATTTTTAGCTTATTTTCTTCTCTTAACTAATGCTCTTTTGAATTATAGTATCAATTTTAAATTCCAGATTTTTAAATTTCACCTGACTACATCTTTAAATGATTCTTTATTAGTCAGTTTGGAGAGTTTTTTTCACTTAGTGAAGAAAGGAAAATTTATAGAACAAATGAACTGAATTCCAAGGCAGATAAAAAAATGAAAATCATTGGCTAAAATGATAAACCACTTGATATGTCAACTCATAGAATAAAATTAATGAATCTTTCAAACTGATTCTCTTGGTGCATGACCCCTGAAAAATATAATTTCTTTGCACACAAAACACCAAACATTTTCCTACCTTGCTACATCTTGCTGACAATAATTTTACCATTACACATCTTACCTCAAATCCAGGATCCATCCCTGAATCATTGTCACTCAGTGGCGGATCCAGAATTTTCATAAGGGGGCCCACTGACTGCCTAAGAGGGGGCCCGCTCCAGTCATGCTTCAGTGATTCCCTAAATAATCAACCAAATTTTTCCCACAAAAGGGGGGCCCGGGCCCCCTGGAAAACCCTCTAAATCCACCTCTGTCACTTCACATCCACTTCATTTGAACTTTGGTGGATAATTTTTCTCATTGGCAATCATACCATATCTCCTTATTTTTATATCACTAATGTTTTCAATTCATCTGTTAACCATGTTAAACCTTATTTTATGTTTTGCTGAATGTCAATTTTATGTATAAAAGATATTTGTAAAAACTGCCTTTTAAGTTATTTCAAAAACTATAAACTGTAATTATTGAAGGCCATACAGCGACCTAAAGTTGCTTACATCTACATCAGTTGGTCAAAGGTTGTACATATCATCTGCAATACAAAATGTAATACCACATTTCCTTATCAACATATAACATCGTATTATCGTTATTTATAGACATTGATGAAGAAGACAAGTCTTACAGAGAGACAAATACAGATATGGATAAGGAAACGATACCAAAGAGATGCTCCAAGTACAATGCAGAGGTTTTGTGAAAGCAGGTATTATTGCTAACTTCCACATCATTTAAATTCTAATGGAAAGTTGCCTCGGTGGCAATCATACCACATCTTCTTATTTTTATATTATAATCTGTTAATATATTTGGTCAGATGATTTTTGGTACCTCTCGATGAAATATATCAATGATTTATAAAAACAAAAAGGGATCTAATTGATTTTATTGTAACAGCATACAATTTTTTGTCTGAAAACATAATATACCTTATTCTCTAGATAATTTTGATTCAAAACATCCCTTTCTTGTGATACTGCACTAGCCTTGAATACAGGATTGATCATCGCTCAAAACAAAGACTTTGAAATTGGTATTTTCTGATACTCCAGAAGGCATGTAATATTCAGAAGTAAGAGCAAAGACTGGTGGCCTCCAAGTGTAAATAATGTGTTGTTAAAGGAGGCCATCTTCTTTCAAACCTTTATGTTTTGAGCTTCCACCTCAGCGTGTTAGTCTAGTACAAGCAGGGTTTATAACTATGTTATCATTTTGTTGTCGTGAATATACATGAAATATTTGCTGCTAAACATTAAGCAGCCATCACTCAACTATCATAGGAAAAATATTGATAGTTTTTTTATACACCTGTTTACAGGATGTATTATGGTATACCGTTGTCCGTCCGTCTGTCCATCTGTCCGTCTGTCCATCTGTCGGTCTGTCGTCAACATGTCGGCTATTAACTCAAAAACGCTATTACCAATTTGCATAAAACTTTGGTTAATTGTTTATATTTATTGAGTGAGCTCCCTTTCGTTTTTTATAACTTTTAGATCTTTCATTTCCGAGTTATGGGGTTTTATTCATTAAAAAAAGCGGGATTTTCCAGTTTTTCGGACAATTACTCAAGAATGCTTTCACCAACTTGCAAGAAATTGTGGTGAATTGTTTATATCTATTGACATGAGCTCCCTTTCGATTTTTATAAATTTTAGATTTTATGTTTCTGAGTTGCAGGGTTTTATTCATAAAAAAAAGGGGGATTTTCCAGTTTTCCGACAAAAACTCAAAAATGCTTTCAGCAGTTCTTATGAAACTTTGGTGAATTGTTTATATCTATTGATGTAAGCTCCCTTTAGAATTTTATAAATTTTACATTTTACATTTCTGAGTTATGGGGTTTTATTCATTAAAAAAGGGGGGATTTTCCATTTTTCCGACAATAACTCAAAAATGCTGTCAGCAATTCTCATGAAACTTTGGTGAATTGTTTATATCTATTGATGTAAGCTCCCTTTTGATTTTCATAAATTTCTAATATGACATTGAGAATTAATTGAACTTTATTTGTGTATAGTCTGACAACAGATTTACTAAGTATTGCACAACAGCAAGAAATCTTTAATAAATTCAGTTCATATAACCAATTTCAAGTTCTTCGACTACATTTATTCAGAAACCTATAATATGTCAAATATTTAATTCAGTCCAAATTCAGACCTGTATCAAGCTTGAATATTGTGTCCATTTTTGCCCCAACTGTTCAGGGTTGGACCTCTGCGGGCGTATCCAGCTGCGCTCAGGGAAGCAGTTTATTAAATTTTTTTATGAATTTATTTTATGCTTGTCTGCAGTCCTGCAGGAAGCTTAGAAAATAGTTGTCATTTTTGAGTGAACCCCCTGAGGGATTCACACTTATATATTGGTGAGTTTTGGAAGCTTCTATGGGCCATTCGATATCCTCTGAATTTCTGAAACAAGACTGTCGGAACGTCTCGAAAAGTTTCGATCATTTATACAGGTAGTTGTTTATATCTTTGATACGGTCCCTCTATGGATAGGGTACCACTCGACATTGTATAGTTCAACAATCGAAGTTCTTTTGTAGATCAGAAAATTTGTAAAAAATAAAGACTCGAATGCATTAAAAAATCATTTCTATTTTGGCACCTACTTGCCTTTTGGCAGAACATATGCGTTTTTAATAATGCCGCTTGCGAAATAATCAGAATGTAATGATAACGCAATTATATAATTCATGCTTTTAGACGGACCCTGTGCACATTGTGTGTGTAGTATTTAATACACATGTTATTGTGCATTGTTATGTGTACAATAAATCTGTCTCAGAATAAACTGATTATTTCTAAATGTTTACCACGTGACATTATTTACTTCAATCACAGCCCGGGCAAATGTCGTAAAGCAATAAGAAAATTAACAAAATGAGATTTCTGTTATAAATATTTATCTTAGGAAGGAAGCATAATTGTAATTAAACAAAACAATATTGCTGTCAAAAAATATAATTTCATTAAAATAAAGACCAAGAAAACATTCATTAACAATATCAAGTTTAAACTGATACAAAAATTGTCATTAATAGAATAGAATATAATGTGTAATGTTATACTATGTTTGACATGTCTGAACAGAGAATACATTTATGAAAATTATATGCAACATATTAGCAGGGATGCGTACACATAAGTTAGTTAAATTTAAATTGTAGTGAATGAAAAAAATACTTCAAAACGGTTTTATCTGTGCATCTCACAAAAAACGTTTTTAATATTTAAAAATAATAATTTAATTACTACGCTAATTATTTAATTTCGCTTTAGAATGGTTTTATAAGTCTCTACTTATATTTTGTATAGCAATATATTTATATAATTGAAATTTAGACTTGAAGAAGAGATTGATTTAATCTACTATATGTTAATAGTAGTCTCAGATTTAATAAATAAAATGTCCATCAGTAAATACTTGATGTTTGTTTTTATTGTTATAATATTTTTAAATTTTCAGGAATGATTCATTAACAGGAATATATGTTAATTAAATTCTAATCAATTCTTTTTTTTTTTATACGACCGGTCGTATATTGGTATCACGTCGTCGTCCGAAGACACTTGGTTTCCAGACAATAAATTTAGTATTAGTTAATAGAAATCTATGAAATTTAAACACAAGGTTTATAACCACAAAAGGAAGGTTTAGGAATTAGGGGCCAAAAAAGGGGCCCAAATAAGCATTTTTCTAGTTTTCAGACAATAACTTGTGGAACGGTGTATGGATCTCTCTGAAATTGTACAACAAGTTTCCATACCACAAAGGGATGGTTAGAATTGGCTTTGGGGGGTAATGGCTCAAACCGTTTAGAAATTAGGGGCAAAAAAGGGGGAAAAAACAAGGGTTTCATTGTTAATGGACAATCACTTTTAAGCACAATGTTAAATTTGGATTACCTCCCTTACACTGCTTTAAAATTATGTATAAAGAAATTTTGTATTGTGTTGAGGTGATTAGCTGTCAATTTATTTTTAGAAGTTACTAATAAAAATGCTGATTAAAGATATATTATTTTTAGACATGATGATGTATGTCATTTTCTATTTTAAGACTTTTATGATGTATTTAAATGGGTAATTATGGTTGCAAACTCCATTGGAAATTTGAATAGAGATAATGACCATATCTTGAGGGAAAGATTTTTTTTTTTTGGAAAAAGCATAGTGTATTGCACAAAAGCCAAAAAAAAAGGGGGGGGGGGGAGGGCAAATATTTTTTTTTTGGAGGGGGATAGGCAAAAAATTGAATATAAATTCGAATCATATAACCAATTCTAAGTTCTTTGATTACAGTTGTTCTGTGTCAGAAACCTATATATATGTGTCAAACATTTAATTTCAATCCAAATTCAGACCTGTATCAAGCACGAATATTGTGTCCATTTTTGCCCCAACTGTTCAGGGTTGGACCTCTGTGGTCGTATCCAGCTGCGCTCGGCAAAGCATTTTAATTTAAATAGTTTAACCTCATAGCATCTTAATCTTTTCAATATGGAAGGAATTTCGAAAATTGTGTATTCATTGTGTTGACCAGCTATCATACACCCGTCTTATTTTAATTACATTATATTACACCCTGTTCACACGTCACAACATTGGTTTGCGTTAACATAAATTTTGGATTAAATGGCCATGAATCCGGAGTCCATACACTTGAGGTAGGTATATAGTTTGACATCCGAATTCAACTAGCATTATATTAGATTTGAGCCTATAGATATAAGAAGATGTGGTATGAGTGCCAATGAGACAACTCTCCATCCAAGTCAAAATTTATAAAAGTAAACCATTATAGGTCAAAGTACCGTCTTCAACACGGAGCCTTAGCTCACACCGAACAGCAAGCTATAAAGGGCCCCAAAAATTAGTGTAAAACCATTTAAATGGGAAAACCAACGGTCTAATCTATATAAAAAACGAGAAACACTTATGAACCACATCAACAAACGACAACTACTGAACATCAGATTCCTGACTAAGGATAGGTGCAAACAATTGCAGCGGGTTCAAACGTTTTAATGGTACCAAACCTTCACCCTTATCTGAAACAATAGTGTAACATCACAACATAGAAAGACACACTATGAAATATCAATTGAAATGGCTTAACTCAATCAAAAGACATATTAACACCTGTGAACATACCTTGAACAAATAAATTTGATCTATGATACAATGCAAATACAAAATAAATAATCTAAGGGAAGAATAATTAAAGTAACATGTTATACCGCTGTGAAATGTTAAACAATTTAAGAAAAACAATATGCTTGAACAAAAATATCAACCATTTGCAATTACTTTAAATACAGGTAAATGAAAATAATGAATATAAATGAATATATGCATATTGTAATCAAGAGTATCAATGCATATGCTTTCCATTTACTATTTCTTGCGCTGCCCAAGAAAACCACATGCATGCATAAATATTAATTTCACTCGCGGACAGTGAATTTTCGCATTTCTTATCTAAATTCCGGACACTGCAGTTAGCGCTGGACATGTGACGCTGAGTCATGGTCATCATAAGTTAAGGTATTCTGACCTCAAGCTGTTTCTCTTTTCTTTTTATGCCCCCGCCATAGCGGAGGGGGCATTAAGTTTTACCCTTGTCGGTCTGTACGTACGTACATATGTATGTCCCAAAATTGGTTTCCGTTCTCTAACTTGAGTTTGCCTCAACCAAATGTTATGAAACTTATACACAATGCTTATTACCACCAAATACAGATCAAGTTTGAATTTTGGTAGCGTCACTCTAACTGTACGAGAGTTATGCCTCTTTATATAAATGGAAAAATTTTAAAAAATTTAGTTTGCCTCAACCAAATGTTATGAAACTTATACACAGTGCTAATTACTACAAAATAGAGATCAAGTTTGAATTTTGGTGGTATCACTTTTACCTTTCTAGAGTTATGCCTGTTTTCAAATGGAAAAATTGCTGAATTTTTCGTTTCTGTTCTCTAACTTAAGTTAGCCTCAACCAAATGTTATGAGACTTATACACAATACCTATTACCACAAAACTCAGATCAAGTACAAATTTTGGTAGCGTCACTTTTACTGTTCTTCAGTTATGTCCCTTTATAACTTTATATGATATGCAAGCGGGGGCATCATCTGTGTCCCATGGACACATTCCCCATTTACCGGTATTTATAATTGACTTGTGTAAAAATCTACATACAATTACATATTTCCAATAAAGGTGTTTTAACATCATCATTATCTTATTCTATTCAGTCAATTATTTCAAATCTAAAGTTAAAAAAAATCATCAAAATTTTTTTGGTTACCAGTCAGCTGTCTCGGGTTCACGTATTGCTTTTCTTTTTTTTAAAGAAAACATGTAACTTGCTTATATTTTTTAATATGGAAATTTACTGTGCTGTTTCATGCAATAGGATGATTATGCACAATCTTTTTATACCAGTTATAAATATCAACTATCAGATGAATGATCTAAATGTTTAATTTTTGATGTGAGATATACACCGACTGTCACATGATATTTGCCACCTTCAGTTAAAAATGTATACCTCAAATAGATTTACCTGCATCTTAGAAGAAGTAATATTGAAGGAAGTAAAGGGTAAAGTTCATTGAGACTACCAATAAATTACTTCTCCATTGAATCAAAATGGGAGGTGCAATAATGGCATTTAAAAGTGCTGAATGCTTTTGTTGGAGTTTTATGAGGGTCTAGATGGGGTTTACAGAATAGAGAATAAATAATAGGCAAAAATAGCTTAATAGAGGGCAAACAAAATAAAGAAAAGTGAAAAATAGGTACAGAAAAAAAGAGTAGAGAATGATGGGGTGCTGCAATATAAAGAATAGAGAATATATTAATGGGGTGCTGCAATATAAAGAATAGAGAATATATTAATGGGGTGCTGCAATATAAAGAATAGAGAATGATGGGGTGCTGCAATATAAAGAATAGAGAATAATGGGGTGCTGCAATATAAAGAATAGAGAATGATGGGGTGCTGCAATATAAAGAATAGAGAATAATGGGGTGCTGCAATATAAAGAATAGAGAATATATTAATGGGGTGCTGCAATATAAAGAATAGAGAATGATGGGGTGCTAAAATATAAAGAATAGAGAATAATGGGGTGCTGCAATATAAAGAATAGAGAATAATGGGGGTGCTGCAATATAAAGAATAGAGAATGATGGGGTGCTGCAATATAAAGAATAGAGAATAATGGGGTGCTGCAATATAAAGAATAGAGAATAATGGGGTGCTGCAATATAAAGAATAGAGAATGATGGGGTGCTGCAATATAAAGAATAGAGAATAATGGGGTGCTGCAATATAAAGAATACAGAATAATGGGGTGCTGCAATATAAAGAATAGAGAATTATGGGGTGCTAAAATATAAAGAATAGAGAATAATGGGGTGCTGCAATATAAAGAATAGAGAATGATGGGGTGCTGCAATATAAAGAATAGAGAATAATGGGGTGCTGCAATATAAAGAATACAGAATAATGGGGTGCTGCAATTTAAAGAATAAAAAAATATAGAAAAAAAAAATAAGGGACCCCCATCTAGACCCTGTTTTATGCAATTCCAATTACTACCAGTAGTTTAGTAGGAGCCTAGATGATTTAATGTTAACAGATGGACAAATAAACAAGACACCCCATCTTGCTTAAAGGAATATATAACTATGAAAAAAACTCGACCCAGATCTATGCAAATATGAACCATTTACATAGTATTGAATGGAGGAACAAATTTTCCTTAAAATAAAAAACTACATACTTTTTCCCTTTAAAAACCCCACATCATAGTTAGATAATTTAAGCATACAGACATAAGCACTTGTTATAAAAGGGATCTCATTTTAGGATTTAAATCTGCACAAACCCTGAACTAATGTAGAATTTTTGGCTGGATCAGATAACATTGTTGATTTAACAACCACATACAATTCGAGGGTCAAGATATAGATCAATTAATTCAATGATAGATGTATGAATACATCTATGATTCAATAATTCCAAAATGGATAATGCAAGGTCTAACATGTTCAAGGCATTGATTATGCAAGGGATCTGTATTATTACATTTAAATATTGAATTATAAGTTATTATTTACAATGTACCAATCATTCAGATGAATTAGCAATTAATATTAATTATTAAAGAATTGGTTGTCAATAGAAGTAACATTTTTATGAAAAAAGAAAAAAATATGATATTTATATTATAGGTTGTACATTTATGAAATTTTATTGCTTGGAAAAATCAGAAAGCTTTCTATATGTATTTTTTTCATATTAAATATTTATGGTTTAAATCTACACAAACCCTAATGTTAATTATCTATCATTACTTAACTTGCTGTAACTCAAAATTATTATTTTTGAAGTAAAACCACTTATAAAATCAATATCACTTCGGAATATATATATTTGAACATCCATAAATCTTCTACGAGTTTAAAGTCCTAAATACAAAAGAGAGGTCTGCAAATTGCACATATCATAAACTAATACTTGACTTAACACATTGTCAGATTGTTAAATCATGAATGTACTTAACTCAGTAAGCAATGCATGTTCGTATGGGAACAAAATCCTTAACAAATAACTCCGACACATTATTCGTATAGTAGACCTAAGTTCTTTACAGAAAAGTGGTTACAAAGATTGAATATTTTTGTAGAGTTATTAGTTATTAAATTTGGATATCATCAGGGGCGGATTGAATATTTTTGTAGAGTTATAAGTCATTAAATTTGGATATCATCAGGGGTGGATCCAGGATTTTTAGAAGGGGGCATAAATCCAGAAAACTTAAACGATACTGCAGAATGGAGGGAGACGAACATTTTTTTGGACGATTTTATGCTAAAAAATCATGTTAATCGTGAGAAACATGAGATTTTTATTTTTGGGGGATCAAAAGAGGGGGAGGTGTACGCTCTTTACACCCTATCCTGGATCTGCCACTGATCATGGAAACATATCTGACATACTGCTTTACTTACTTCAGGAGAAATGTATAATGTACATTGCATTTCAGAAAATTATGATAATGCCTGTATTAATCAGGTATAAAATAAATTGTATCAGATTGCAGCTTATAGCTAGGGATATTTTACCTTGCATGATATTGCTTTTTACCGTTGACAAACATATGACAATGTACCTTACCTAATTTGACTATCCAGTTACCTGTTGCTTTTTATTCCTTACCTATCCTATATTGGTGCTTTTTGCATTTTTTCCCTTAAAAATAACTATCCTTTAAGGAGGATCTGGATGGGATTTACAGAATAGAGAAAATGGGCAAAGAAAAAAAAATAGAGAATAATGGGGTGCTAAAATATAAAAGTATAGAGAATAACAAAATAAAGAATAGAGAAAATTAGCTAAAGAAATTAAAGAATACAAAAATGAAGACACCCCAATCCACACCCTCTTTTAGGATAAACCAAACTATACTTATTTTTATTTCCCATCTGTAAACAGAGGTTTTTTTCATACTTGTAATGGAAACATGCATGTATACTTCTATACAGAATTCTGCTTTCAAGTTAACAGTCATTGTGTAACATACAATAAAGTTGTATGCTGTAAACTAATCAAAATCTTTTTTTACGGTCACATGATGTTATTTAATGTTTTCAAACTTGTTATGGAATCATTATTTTTTCTCAAACTGTCAAAGATATATTATACTGAAAATGAAACTGTTAGTCTTTTTATACTGTCATGACTGTCTAAGAGAATACCTGTAAAATTTATGATTGAGCATGTTTGTAGAGTATTTTGAAAAGTTTTTGCATATAAAAAACATTAACAAAATTTGTTTTATCTTTGCAGTTGGAATTGTGTAATTTTATCCATATTTGGAGTTTATGGTGTATATTCTTTATGGGATGTAAGTATAGAAATATGTAAATATGTAAACAAAAATAAAATGCAACACTGAAACATGTCAAATCTAGCAAGATTTAACAACAAATACAAATAAAAACAAAGAGCAGATATGACTAATTTATGATAAATGTATATGCACTTCCACTATAGAATTGATTTTTTTTTTTTTTTTTTTTTTTAAGAAATGGAAAGCAAGTGACATGAAGATAGGAAGCAAAAACACAGCATTCAATTCTTATATTTAGATTTTTGAAGTAAAAAAGTATATGTTGTTAACATTTTGAATCTGCTGTATTGAATTCACTCTGTCTGTCTGTGTGTCCATTCGACCATCAATTATGTCCGTCACACTTTTCTCAGGTACTACTAAACAGAATTTCTTCATATTTGGTCACCGTCTTCACATTGATGAGTTGTAATACATGGGCACTTTTCAGATCTGTCAGACACTTGCTTCCTGTTTGCCAATACTTGGAATTTTTTCAATATGTTGAATGAACTTAAAATTTTTCATCATACTTTTCTCAAGTACATTGTACTTCTGAATTGAATGACTTCATATTTAGTCAGCAGCTTTACATTGATGAGTTGTAACGTGTGAGCACTATTGGAATCTGTCAGACACCTACTTCCTGTATTTTAATACTTTGAATAACGAGTTGGGGACTGGGGGTATGATTAACACGACAACACATGCAAAATTTGTCTATATTTCAGAAACCATGGTTTGCTAAGGCTATATACTGTTGGATTGGATGGCCTAATCAGGTTAGTGGCATATAAACAAATGATACCAATTTCACAAATCACATTAGGTGGTTGCATATTAGATTTGTTTAAAGTTACATTTACATGTTTAAACTCCACAGTCGTGTATCTAATTATAGAACATTTTCTGATTAATAAATATATTATAACATTAACATAATTTTTTGCCTGTTTTGGGCAATACAATTTATGTTTCGCAAATATATGTATTCATGATAATAGACTGGTGTTTTCTGAATCTTTTGAACAGACTCTGTGGTCTCATTTTTGCCGGGAGTGCTAGTAGTCATTGCTTTGATCCCTGGCCAGGTCAAACCAATGACTTGTAAATTGGATTTTGATGCTTCTTTGCTAAGCATGGTCTTCTCAGAATCAGAAAAAAGTGTACATGTCTTTCTGCAGAGTTACCTTTCGAACTGGTATGTCAAAAGTTAGGGGCAGTGTTCGTATCGCACTAACATGTTCTAGCACTGAATATGCATTCAATTTGCAACTGGACGTTAAACAGCCATCCAGCATCAATATCATCATCATTATCTTAATCTTTAATTTAAAAGTATTTGCTTTAACAAATTCTGATTATTAAGCTTAGTTTCATTAACATATTTAGCTTTGTTGAACCAAACAAGTCGATTATATCAGTACTGGTCACACTGGTCAAGGGCCTGTAATTGCCATAGGTTTGCTATGATAATCTTTTTGTCTTCTGTTAATTGGTATCACAGCACTGAAAAGATAAATTCAAATAAATAGTAAAACCCGTAAATTGACATAACATGTTTTAATAAATCTAGATTTACAGACATAGGGAGATTTTCCTAATTTACAGATAGAATAAGAATGTATTGTTTCATTTAATATGTACTCTTCACTTCTTGCTTCAAAATAGCAAAAAGTGACAGAAGCTGGTCCTTGTATCCATAAAATATCATGTCAAAATTGCAGCACAACTGACCTTCTTTTAGTTGATATATTAGAGAATTTAAAATTTTAAACGTTTTTTTGGTAATCCTTTTAAGATTCATATTTTCAAATGGTTTATGGAATATTCAAGAAACTGTGAATTTCTAATACAGTATTACTGGTTCTTGACCATAAGAAGTATAATACAGTGGTCAAATTGTATTTTTTTTTAATGAATAGTATAATTTTTGTTTGAATTTTCAGCATGTTACAAATGATATGTATTGGTACTACCTAATAGAACTTGGATTTTATTGGTCCACAATGTTTATGATTACTGTTGATCATAAAAGAAAAGTAAGTTTACTTATTGACAGGGAATATTACGTAAACTTATAAGAATATAAGTAACAAGCAAATCCTTTTAATATTTTGTCTAGTCTCTAATGACAGTAATTTAAAATCATTCAGTATGTTTTTAACTGATCCATGTTCTCTTCTGTACTGATGTTAAATGAAACAGGTCGATTTTCTTTGCACCATTTCAATCTTTTTAATGTGGCTTACCTGATAGGGATCACAAGCACTACTGTCAGAATCAACATTTGGCCTTACTATAGCTTGATATGCTCTTTTCTTAATTTCTTCTGGGAATTTATTGATATTTTCTCTCAGGAAGCCTAATTAGTAGGTGTTTTGTTTAGCACTTTTAAACAGGTTCAAGTCCAATTTGGTGTTAAAGCCATATTTTCTGTATGTCAGATTTATTAACCAACAAGATTAAATCTATTTACACAAAATTAGAATTGGAAGATTATTGATGAATTGTGTGTATTCGTTTATTTTTGTAACAATAAAACCTGATAATTTTTAAGTATTTCATTACATTTAGTAATTATGAATATTAATGTATAATAACAAATTGAATAACAGTAATTTCATTTACCTAAATTAATCCTCCCTTTATTAAATTTGTTTTGATATATAAAACATTTTGTTCAGTCAATGAATATTTGATATAGCTATTATCTGTTTGGATTGTTATGGCTTGGATGGACAATGATTTGGAATTTGTTGGTACAAATGGTGGCATTTTCATATGGACATGTCATATTTTTACTTTAATCAGGGCTATTCTAGAAATAATTATATTGGGGTTGGAAGTCTTGGAAGGCACCTAATATTAATGATATAGGGTAATAGGGACACAATATTAAATTTCTAATTGAAATTGTATGGGTGGAGGTTTTAGGGAAAAACGTGCTTTCCAACCCCATACATTTAATTTTGGAATAACCTTTAGGAAATTTCCTGGAAAAATGAAATCTTGTATTCACTAGATTTTACACTATATAAGATCATTGGGAATTAAGGCATGAAAAATTCAATAACAAAAACATAACAAAAAGAGGGAGAAAAAAATCAAGATGCACACAATAAAGGTAATGATATAAAAATAACTCAAAACAAATCATGACTTGACAAGATAAAGGTAGGGCAATAAATTATTTCTTTATCAGATACTATACAATTATTGACTTTTGATGAGGTTGATACAATGATTTATCAACCCCAGTGATATGACATTCACCCTCGGCCAATAGCCATGAGTGAGGGTTAATGTCATATCTCTGGTGTTAGGGTGAATAATGTCATATCTCTAGGGTTGATAAATCATTGTATCAACTAATATCAAAAGTCAATAAATGTTTTCTTATATGACTTTTTGTATTCAAGTCCAATTTTCTAGTATTTGCTCAAGATATTTAACTGCTCCTTGTTTTGATACTAAAAATAGTATCTGTTTTGGTAGTCGCTAGCTTTTATAGTTGAAAGATTCAATAAAATTAACTTTAAAAAAAGAAGAACAAAAAAACCTGAGATATTGCATGACGTATTAACTCTATGTCATTGATGTTGCCTAGGAAAATAACTATTTAGTTACACGTTGGCTGTTTCAAATCTTATATTAACCTCTCATGATTTTTCTGGCGGTGAACATAATGTTTTATCAAAGGAGATTCTGTATGCTTTTAGCCAATGAGAAAAGACAATTAGCTTAGTCATATAATAATAAGGAATATCATCAATATTAAAACTGTAACAAACTTTTCTTACACAAAAGGTGTGAAGAATGAAACATGAAGATGAAAGATAACTGTATCCATTTTATTTTTCACTTTTAGGATTCGACAGAGATGACTATCCACCATCTGATTACAATATCCTTATTGCTATTTTCATGGTCGAATAATTTTCTAAGAATAGGGACCTATGTTCTTGTGGTCCATGATGCTGCAGACTCTTTACTAGCAGTAAGTATGAAACAATGGAAAACAAATGTGCTAGGAACAAAATTTCTAGTGTTCAGTTATTTTATATGTACAACTATGATGTGTCTGCACAATTGTATATTTTGAGGCAAGATACAGATGGTGCATTTGTGAACATAGTTCTGCCTGGTCCTGTAGTAGAATATATTCAAGTTTATGACAGATTGAACATAATGTATGAACTTCTAATTCAAAGGATATGTACTTTTGGAGGCCAAATTTGGCTAAAAATGACGGCATTTCAAATGATCTCAAGTTTGTAGAATTCAATGCTGAATCTATGTACTTTGTTATATTTGCTCTTCATTGGTAATATAGATATATATACAGTGAATTTGACAAATGCCATGACCCTTTTACTCAAAGATGCAAAAGAATTATATATATAAGTCATCCCAAAAGATTTTGCATTTTTTGCTGATAGAAATCAGTTTTGGCGACATTTGTGCTCTGAAATAGTTTAGCAAAAATGTTCCTGGAATTAGCCTGTTATGAAAAAAAATGAGTGCTTTAAATTCAGAAATTATTGCAATGTATTTATTAATGCTAAAAATGTGACAGTATCAGGTTGGCAATAAGAAAAACTTGCATCCATATTTTCAGTAGTGATTTTCCTTCATAAAAAGTTTGGAATTGCATTAATTAGATTTCCCATTTACATCACTGGTCAATGATTTGCAATAATAAATGCAGGCATTAATTTCTGAGTTTACAGTAAATCACCACTTCAATCATGTCACAGTCAAACTGTATCATCAGGATAAGTCTTAAACTTTATTTTTCATAAAGGTTTTTATTTAAGGACTAAAAAACGTAACAAACAATTGTATCCTATTTTTTTATTTTCAGGCAAATTGACTGGGCCAAATGAGCCCCAAAATCTACCTTCTTGTTTTATTGTCCCCTGCAGCCTAGCGGAGCAGGGGATATGGAAATGCTGATGTCTATCTGTCATTCGACATTGTAAGCGTTGTCACACTTACAGTTCTAGTCAGATTTCAATCAAAGTTATGTCAAAGCTTTACATCAGCAATTTTTTGGACTATTTTGAATCGACCATTTTTTAGGGTTATGCTCTTTAGAAATGTAAATAATTTGAAAATTACATTGTAGGCCCTCTCATATCAACATTTCTTTTTGAAGTTTAATGAAATTTGTTTCAAAGGAACATTGGCAAGGTCTCTGACGATTTGGAAAACCAGGGCTGATCGATTATTTTTATAAGAGTTATTCCCCTTTGAAATGCAAAAAATACAAAAATCATCATTGTAAGTGCTATCACACCTACAGTTAGAGTTAAAAAAAAATGTGACAAAGTTTAATTTGGCTAGGCCTAAACCCATGATCTCCTGAACTTTAGGTGAGCACACTACCTTTAAACTACCAAAACATTTCACTTATTTATACTAAGTGTCCAATCTGTCAAACATGATCAGGGAGGTTTAATGAATTGGCTGAAATTGATAATATGCTACTTCCATTATCAAACAAAGTCGGTAATGTTTTTTAAAAAGTGACAGAAACATAAGTTTTTTGTAAATACAGAAAAGATTTAATAATTGGAAGAATTTTCAAAAAGTGAACACAAATTTGAAAATGTACTACACATAGCAAAACATAATTTATGCAATCATGTACATTTGTATTAAAGAATTTTCCCTTCTAACATGAAATTTTAACATGAATAAAATTATCATCTTTTACAGGCAGCTAAAATGTCAAAGTATTGTGAAAAAGAGAGACTAACAGAATGTATATATTATGTATTCATGGTTGTATGGGTATCTACAAGATTAATCATATTCCCATATGTGTAAGTATAGCAAGAATTAATCTTCACTTTTTTATTTCTAAATATAAAGATTTTTGTAGATGAAATACATTAAATTATAAACGAAAGTGAACCATCGCCTGGTGAATCTGTAGTACGGAAGAATCCCTAAAGTGGGTTGTAACAATAAAACACAAAAAATGTACAGAGTCCCTAGGCAATGAAACATGTCGATCAATATGATTACTGCAGTAGTCCCTCAAGTGTTTTCGTTATAAGACTCTCTTCAAAACACCCTAAAGTTGATCTACAAATCAGCCGTTAGTTTTTAATAATGAGCAAAGACCCATGATGTAAGATATGCTACAAACGAGCTGGGGAAAACAAAATGTGGAACAATTCAAGATAGACAGCTCATAACACCTTTATCTAAGTTTGTGAATACTAATCCATTGTAAGGATCAACTGCTGTTTTAAGTCATAAAAATCATTGCAATTTTAAACTATATTATTCTTAAGCACTTTAACAAAAACAGGTACGAAATTTCATGCAGTTCATACCCGTTAACAGAGATTTGTTTATGTCTTGATGTCTGGTATAAATTTGATAGTTTTAAATTAAAAGATTCTGACTTTTTAGTCCTAAAAAAATTAACAATATCTAATGAAGAAATTTCCTGTCCCTTGAATTCCTTATCCTTGTATGTAGGATAATTTTGACTTTTTTTTTATAACTAAACACTAGTTATCTGAAAGTAGTAATTTATATAATTTTGATGTATGATTTTGTAAGATCATAACAAACATTTTGCAATATGTGAGAGTACTAAATTTTGTTATTAAACCGATTTACTTTCATTGTGTTGCATAAAGCTTAGTCACTGAATGGAACGTCTTTAGAAAAATTGTAAGATTGAAATACTGTATTGATAATTTTTGGCCTTGCCTATACATCTTGATTAACCTTTTGAAACTCATCTGTTTAATTCGCAATTTCAGATTATTATATACAACTGATTTTGAAATATTCCAAGTAGATGAACCAATGATCACATTAGTTAGACTTTGTTGGCAGTACAAAGTATTTAATGTTCTTCTTCATATGCTGCTAATACTTCACTTTTTCTGGACTTATATCATAATGAAGGCAGCCTACCTCCAAATTAAACAAGGAGAGGTAAGTGTTGAAATAATGAAAATACCATGAATTTTAGAGCAGGGGAGGTTAGCGATTAGAACTTGTTACAATTCTTTCCAAAGTCATCAAATTATAAACTAAGATGTAACAACTATTACCATTTCATCTTAATACTCTGAAATATCTAGTTCTCAATATTTACAATGTCCATATGTATATATGAACTCTGAAAATTTGGGTTACATCTTTAGTGCTGTTACACTCTAGTATATATATGTCATTTGCCTGCTAGCCAAATAAGTGTACTGATACAATACAATTAAGATTGACATCTGTCATGATCAAAAAATAAAATAGCCCATATCATAGTTAAATAATTTAGGCATGCAGACATAAGCACTTGTTATAAAAGGGATCTCATTTTAGGATTTAAATCTGCACGAACCCTGAACTAATGCAGAACATTAACCTTACAATTTTTGGCTGGATTAGATAACATTGTTTAACAACTACACGAAATTGCAGGGTGAAGATATAGGACGAATAATTCAATAATTTCAAATTTCAGATTTAAATTGAAGTTCCTCAAATTGACCAAACTACCAAACTTTTAACTGTCATAGTCTAAGTGATACATCTCAAATCTACTTACAGTTAAATTATAATGTCATAACTTCTTGTCTTTGTCTATGCACAGATGCATATATATGTATATGTTAAAGACAGCTACCAAATGACAAAATGAATAACCAAAAATACATACATACAATCTTTAATAATAGACAAATGTCTATACAATATGCCAAACTCTAAATTGTCCCATTTCTATAAAAGTTGTAAATAAATTAAACAGAAACTACTCAAACATCTACCATCAACACCAATTAAACTTACATAAATCTAAAGATATGACACAAGACAGTGTCTGACTTGGGACCGTCACAAGAATATGTGGCACACTTAAACTTTAAGAGATCTGAACCACCCACTTTTTCAAATCTCTATCAGTGGACAAACAAAACGTAAATCTTGAAAAAGATTTGATAAATGTATAAAAGTGCAATTTTAAAAGATTGTTTTGCAAATTTTGTGACCTACTGACCATGACACATATTAAGCTCATTTTATCAACTGATATATTTCCCCTCCCTTTCAAATCTTAATCGATGGACTTTTAAAATGTAAAACATAATGCAGATTTGATAAATGTATCAAAGTGCAATTTAAATGAGATTGTTATGTAAATTAAGTGACCTACTGACTGTGACACACATTAAAATCATTTTATCTACTGATACATTTCTTGTCAAGATTTTTTTTATCAGTATTGTGAATGTCTTGAACAAGTAACAAGCATAAATGGTGAAAACAGGAGTTATGCCCCTTGGAAATATACATTATGGAAAATTTTGTTGTAAGTCCTCTGGTGCCTACATTTCAAGCCTGAATTTTATAAAATTAATATCAAAGGATTATCTGAGCAATTTCAAACAAGTACGAAATAAGAACTTATCAATTTTTTTTTACATTTAATAGTTATGCCTCTTGGAAATGTAAACTATATGGAAAATTGCATTATAAGTCCTCTCATGCTTATATTTCTAGTCTATTTTTGTCTCACCTGTGACAATAAAATAAAATTAAAAAGTATAATAAACCTCACTTACAATCCATTATGATTTGAATTCCAATTCATTTACTAATATAAAAGTGTTGTCTAAAATTTATATATATATTATTATTGTAATGAATCATTTGAAAGGTGAGAAATTGTTATTTTTGAAATGCTATAAAAATGTCCTAAGATTTCAAACTATTCCTTTTAAAAAAAAATTCTATGTTTGACCAGACATCAGTTTGAATTAAAACATGTAATATTCAGTAAACTATATGTGAAATTACAATATGTTGTCAATAAGTTTCCATGGGGAGATAATCTAATATCTTTTTATATGAAATATTCATTATCTCTCTTTAGGACTTCATGAAAACATAATTTAGCTTAACATATATTTAACTGAGTATTTAGGCATTAATTTAACAAGAGTTTTGAATCATGCAAGGAAAAATCAAACATTTTAGAAGAGATCATTCAAAAACTTAAAATTGGGCAGATATTTTAGCAAGTCTGATGACCAATATATTGACGTTTATCTTATGTGTCTAAACAAATTTTTGAAAATACTTACTAGTCCGAATAAAATATTACTAATTTGGGGCATTGGACTAGTGGCTAACATTGCAGACTTTTACCTTTCAAATGATACATCACAATAATTATATCCCTAAAAAGTTCACATTTTCATTTGACTGTGAGACCCTTAGTGTTAACATTATCATTGTAGTCATGAGGTGGAATTAAAATTTTTAGGATTTAAAGATTTAAAAAAATCTTATAGCATTAAAAAAATGCTTTTTTTCATCGTTTACACTTTGAGGACTACTACCGGACTACAGCAGTTGGTTAAAATGAGTTGAACAGCGCGATTTGATGAAACAAACTGTAATTTGGTCAGAATTTGGATAGAGCTACATACAATACACGGGTGTCATTCGGTTTATCGAGAGAAATGATCGTGAAAGAATACCTAACGGTGGTCAAGCATGAAACAAATCCGAAAAAAATTATGTCTGTCAAAATGATTCAACATTCTCAATAATACTGTGCAATAAGATCTATAGAATATGCAGAACTTTATGAGAAAAACACAAAAGGCGCAATACAAGTCTATGGGATTCATTAAAAAAAGAATACGCTTTGTACCTATAATGACAACATTTCAGTATATAATGATATATTTGAAACTGAATCATTGGTGTGACAGATAATACAGTAAAATGAAAGTTTTTTTTCCCTTGAAACCGTTCATTTTGTTATTAAAAACACTGAATTTTGATGATTTTTTATTAAAATTGATCGTGAAAGATCAGGCAACGCATTATTACGATCGTGAAAGACAATGCGTGACCAGACAGACGCAGTACGTTTGTGTTTTTTTTTTTACCTGTAAGGCTAAAGGACATTTGCGCTTTAAACTTTAATACACCTGAACAAAATTGACAAGACATTTGCGCTTTTTACCTTTAAAAGTTGTATATCTGTAATCTTTAGAAATTTTACCAAAGTCATGGAAAGATGTTCACATATTCTTTGAAAGTTCATCCGAACAAACGAGAAATTCAGAAAAAAATATTTGGGTAAACCAGAAAAGCAATTTTTCACCTAAGCAATTAAAATATGTAATAAAAAAATATACCTTCATTTGCTACTTTTCTAGATAACAGCGGATTTTTGTAAAAACTTTATGAAAATCTTCTTTACATAAATATGCTCTTAATATGTATAAAAATTCTATGGAAATAATTAATTTTTAACAAAGTTTCAGGATTTTAGGGAAAAAATGGCATATTTTTGCGATATATTTATCAAATTTAAAAAAAAATCGTTATTGACTTTTTCATTAAAATTGGTACAAATAATCTTCATACATAATCAAACCTAATGCCATTTTATAAAAGAGGGGTCCATGTACTCGTTTTCAAGTTAAATCAGTTTAAATGATAAAAAACAGTCGAAAAATGCATCTTTTCCCAATATGTCACAGTTTGACGTCGCGAAAAATAACATTTTACGTTAGCAACTTCATTACCTCCCCTGTAACTGTATCGTATGCCCTTAACATTCTGATATAACCATGTATTACTGACAAAGTACTGTGCATTCCAAATATATGACAATCCACAACTATCTAGAATAGATTTGATATTATTAATTTAACACTTTTCCTTCAAAGTTATTATAAAAACGGGTCTAGAAAAGTAGATCTACAAGATAAAAGGACCTTCAGGAGTGTAAATTTTTGAAAAAGTAAAAGTATATATGTATCTGTAATGCATAATGCATCTGCCCTGGAAATATATGCATGTGTACGTTTTTTTTTGTTATGTTACCTTCAGTTATAAGGGAGCTACCATTTGATTTTTATGGGGTGGGGGGCTAGGATGTCCTGCATTTTTTTTAGTTGTAATCTCTGTCCTGCCTTTTTATTTTTCACTCTATTCGGTCCTGCCTTTTTTTATTAGTTTATCCTAACTTATTCTACATAAATTGTCATCCGGCCTTTTTTTTTTTTACTTAAAACTCCTCTCCTGCCTTTTTTCCACAATTCATCCTAGCCCCCCCCCCCCCCCCCCCCCCCCCCCCATAAAAATCAAATAGTAGCCCTCTAAGGAGTATCGTTCATGCGTACATCGTATGACAATATTGGCTAATTAATTGTATATTTCGTGGTTGCGCTGACATAAACTAAAAAGGTACCAAGATAACGTTATTTATACTATAAATATCATTTTATTCTGCTATCACCTAAGTTGAACAAAGGTATACTCGATTGTTTGATCAGTTTGTTCACAATAGCTATACGTCATTGTACCAACTTAGTGGGGAAATTACCAATCAATGTACCTCGCAATCGATTGTGCATGATGCCCAGCTTGAACTGTAATTTAGCTGATATTGCTATAAGGCACCTAGTCGGTTTGGTATTATAAGATAATCAGATCCAATGGCATTGAACAATTATGGCCCTTTTCACCAACAAAAGAGAACTGGAATGAGTCATGCAAATCCGATATTTGCTATACCAATAAAAATATAAACTACCATATAATTAAATAATAAGTTGAACGTTTTTGTAGCATCAGATCTTTCACGATCCTTTTCACGATCTTCAAAAAGCTGTACACTATCTTTCAAGATCAAAAAAATCAATTTTTATACGCCTGTTTATGGGACGTATTATGGTATACCGTTATCCGTCCGTCGTCAACATGACGGACATTAATACAAAAACGCTTTAACCAATATGCATGAAACTTTGGAAAATTGTTTATATCTATTGATGTGAGCTCCCTTTCTTTTTTTATAAATTTCGGATTTACCGTTTCCGAGTTTTGGGGTTTTATTCATTAAAAAAGGGGGGATTTTCCAGTTTTCGGACAATAATTCGAAAACAATTTCACCAATTTGCATGAAACTTTTGTGAATTGTTTATATCTATTGACATGAGCTCCCTTTCGTTTTTTTATAAATTTCAGATGTACCATTTCCGAGTTTTGGGGTTTTATTCATTAAAAAAGGGGGGATTTTCCAGTTTTCAGACAATAACTCAAAAACAATTTCACCAATTTGCAAGAAACTTTTGTGAATTGTTTATTTCTATGGACATGAGCTCCCTTTTGATTTTTATAAATTTTAGACTATACGTTTCCGATTTATGGGTTTTTTTTCATTACAAAAAGGGGGATTTTCCAGTTTTCAGACAATAACTCAAAAATGATGAAACTTTGGTAAATTGTTTATATCTATTGATGTAAGCTACCTTTTGATTTTTATAAATTTTCGATTTTACGTTTCCGTGTTATAAGATTTTATTTGTTTATAGTCTGACAACAGATTTACTAAGTATTGTGCAACAGCACAGTGTATTGCACAACAACACAGTGTATTGTACAACAGCAAGAAATCTTTAATTGAATATAAATTCAATTCATATAACCAATTTCAAGTTCTTTGACTACATTTATTCAGAAACCTATAATATGTCAAATATTTAATTACAATCCAAATTCAGACCTGTATCAAGCTTGAATATTGTGTCCATTTTTGCCCCAACTGTTCAGGGTTGGACCTCTGCGGGCGTATCCAGCTGCGCTCAGCGAAGCAGTTTTTTGTAAATATTTCCATTTTTGCAAAAAAAATGGAATGACATTTTTCAAAGAAAAGTTGTTTAGTCATTCGAATTATGAAAAAAAATCTTGTTTGTTTACATATTCAATGTCATTGAAATGGCGAGGAGCAATCTGCCTTTTGTAGTTTTATAAAAACGGTTTACTCTTAAACCTTGATTTTTCTCAGATACTGATCATTATGTTAAACCATTTTGACAGACAGTTTTATATTTTTGTAAATTTGTCTGCATAATTCATGATATTAGATTAGTAATTGACCTTGCACAAGTCTTCTCGATAAAATTGAATTCACAATCCTATACCAGAACTTTCACGATCCAATCGTAATACTTGACCACCGTTAGGTATTCTTTCACGATCTTTTTTCTCGATAAACCCAATGACACCTGTGCAATAATTAGAAAAGCAACACTTACAATCAAGTCACAGTAACAAAAAAGGCGACCATGCATGATGATGTCACATAGAAAGAACACAATCTTTTTGCAACTCGATGAAAGAGATCAGAGTTTGCTTTCAAATTGCTCAAAAAATTATTACAAAAACAGATTCCAACATTGTATCTTGTGCGATACAATATTTCTCCATATTGGACAACTCTCAATTTAGTGGTACAGATTTTATTTTAAAATTTAAACAAAAGTGTGAAATTATCATGAATCTATAAATTATATTCCTGATATTTAATAATTCAGAATGTTATATACTGCACCTACATAATGTCATTGTTACTCTTAAAATGATTGTTTTCTTAATATCCAGTGGCAAATATTTCATGGCCCAATTAAAAAAAATGTTGCCTTCTACACATTTTTCTTGGTTAACATTCATATATATAAATAGGGAATATAAAAAATGAAATTTGAAATGGTAAAGTACATGGGGGAAAAAAATGTGTTGCTTTGCTAATATTATATATCACTTTTTCAGATAAAGGACATCAGAAGTGATTCTGAAGAAGGAAACAGTGAAGGAGAGAAAATAGAAGATGAAATCAACCGTAACAGTGACACAAACAATGGATATATATCCCAAAACAATGTCAAATAAATAACCTGTATACACAAAAGACGTCATAAGGGGTTACATCATTTATGTGTTCCAAAGTTCATTCCATGCATATATATGTGTGCAGTACATGCACAAACTTAGACCCTTGTTGTTGTTCGTTGTTCGTTGTCGTTCGTCAGGTGAACAAATCCTGTAAAAAGTTAAGCTTATTTTTATAGTTTTGAAATCCATTTTGTTTGTTCATTCCAAGTTCATTTTTTATTAAGCATATTTTTTTTCAACGAAATGTTCTTGAGATTGCATTGTTGTTTTTTTTTTCTAGAAGAAAGTACAGTGAAAACTGTTTTAAGAGGCCACTTAAGGGAGAGCAAAAAGTGGTCTCATAAGTCTTTTAATACAGGTTCAATCTATATGAAATGCACTACAGAGGGACCCAAAAATTAATTGTCTTTTAACACCGTTATTTGCTTAAAACGTGGTCTCTTAAGCAGGTTTGACTGTATAACAAGATTTTATTTTTAATGGATCTCAGACCCATGTTCGAGCAAACCAAAATGTAGTGAACTTTTAATCAGATGATCATTTAAACAATAAAAAAAAAGTTGCTTTATACATTTGTTAAATTTTATTTAAATTACATTGATACATCATTTCATACATTAGATTTACATAAATGAAAAACTCTAACTCTGTTTCTCTTTAAAATTTAAAAGCCTACAAAAAAATGCTGCTTGCATGATTACATATGTATTTTAATGTGAATTTGAATGAAAGGAGATTCAAAGGAATGACCATAGAGCCTTGGACAGTAGATAAATGTCATTATTAGGGGTGTAGCTCTAAATCACCCATAAAGAGTTGTGTATAAATTTAAATGTGGAATACCTGTATTCAGATGAAAAATTTCGTTCTCTTTTAACTGAAGATCATGATGACTAACAAATTAGGAGAAAATATATATAGCTAGCTAATCTGATCAAATACTGAATTAATGGATTATGAAAGTTAAATCCAATCTTTCATCCGTCCATCACACTCAGTATATAAGATTTAATTGCCAAATAATTTTATATTTATTTATATTTTATTTGTTTATACTTTAGATTTGCATAATACATGTATTTGTTTATTTGGATGTATAGTTTGAAAAGAGTGTGATTTAAGTTACATTTAGTGTGGTGCAAATGTTATGCTTTATTTGTATGATGTGCATAAGAACATATTAACATTCTGGAAAGGCACTTAAAAAGTGATTTTCAGTGATTATATCAAAACACACCCATTTGAAAAATAGTTCAAACCTAATGAAATTGAAACATCTTTACCAAATAGACTAAAGTTTTAAACAGATCACAACTTTTCATATGTGAAGTGTGTTTTTTTTTAAATTTGTTTAACATTAATCCCATGAATGGAAACTTTCACTAAATTTTGGCCCAAATATTGGACTTTCCCTTCTACTTTGTCAAGTTGAATAATTTTAAACAATAGAAGTAATATTTAATTAAAGTTTTTACCTTATGAGATGTTTTATATAATGAGATGTTAATATTATATAATGAGATGTTGATATTATATACTTTAGAATTTGATCAAATTGACTGAAACTGTAAACTTTTTCATAATATAATATGCTGACATCATCAAACCATGTCTGTGGATGCCAAAGTCCCAACATGTACCTGGGAAAATATGAATTAACAGAAGTATCAAATTGTATAGGAAAATGTTACATTTTGCCCTCCACAACATGTTATGAAAATGTTTCCATGTTTACTGAACATTTTCATGTTTTAAACAATATTATTTATATGCTCCACTTTATAAATAAGGGTCTATACATAATTATCAACTATTGATTCATTTATTTTTGTGGGTACTAATTTTTCGAGGATTATAAAAAATTTTATTTTTGTGGTTTTCCAATAGAAAATTTGTTCTTCGTTGAACATTTAAATTTGTGGTTCACCCGTACCCACAAAATACACGAAAATTGGTATCCCACGAATAATAATGAATCCACAGTATCTCTGTTTAGATATTGATACTAAAGTTATTCATTGGAAGAGAACAAATATTTGGATTGCTTGAAATTTTATTGATGCAATAACAAAATTATACATCATTTTTGATGAATGAAGTTTTGTACAAAATGTAGTGACAAATAGTATCTGTTATCTTTTGTCTATGTGAGTGTGTATGTGTGTTTTTTTAAATGCTTTAATTCAGAAAAAGAAAAAAAGAGGAAAATGTATTTAAAATGGAATGGCTTAAATAATTAAAAAAATTATTATATAATTTGTTAGGCCTTTCAGGAACATTACAACAAATCACTGTACAACCATCATTTCAGTATAATTTGTTCATGCCAGTGGCCTGAAAAATCCAGGATTTTCAAAAAGGGCCCTACCAAAAATATAAAGCAGGAGGAGATGGGGCTCTACTGTCAAAAATCAGAATAATGTATTTCAAAAATGCAAATTTTTACCATATAGGGGTCTTCGGCACTGTGGGCCCCTTCCAACCTTGATTTACCCGCGTTATAAAGTCAAAACATTTAGAAATGGATATTTAAGATTAGCTTAGAATAGATAATAGATATTACATTAGTACTGATGTTGTGCATTATAACAATATATTTTATTTTTAGCATTGTAGTATGAATAATGTGTGAATATTTTTGGTAGTTTATATGATACTTACAAGTAAAAAGATAGCCGTGCATTCGTTCTATCATCAAACATCTAATAAGTAGTATTTTAAGGTAGATTTAGACCATCATGCTGTCTTTGTAATGCTTTTCAAATAATTTAGAATTTAGTTCATGGCCAGGCATTAAATGTTTGCAATTTTTTTTAAAGTTCAATCTTATTCAAATACTTATCCTATATCAGCTTAGCTGAGAATGATCTGTGTTTTACTTTCTATTTTCATAATCAGTGTGTCAACCAGTAAAACTCCCACCTTGAAATTTGTCCAGGTATGTAATGTTAAGGGAGCTACCATTTGATTTTTATGGGGGGGGGCTAGGATGAAAAATTTTGTCCTGCATTTTTTTTTTAGTAATCTCTGTCCTGCATTTTTATTTTTCACTCTATTCGGTCCTGCATTTTTTTTTTTTTATTAGTTTATCCTGACTTTTTTTTACATAAATTGTCATCCTGCCTTTTTTTTTTTACTCAAAACTCCTGTCCTGCCTTTTTTCAAATTTCATCCAAGCCCCCTCCCCCATAAAAATCAAATGGTAGCTCCCTAATTTGAATCCAGAAGATCACCCAAAGGTCTTTAGTGTAGAAAGTAACAGAGAGCATTGTCTGATCCTTGTCAGGGAAACATAGACACAGGATCAGTATTTCATTCAGATTAGTAGATTTAGCTTTTTGGAAAGATAATTTAAAATACCTGAAAAATGTCATAGTGAAGAACTTAAAAGATTTGAATTTAAATTGAAAAATTCCTTTTTAATGTGATTCACTGGTGGCAGTGCTCAACAGGAAATGAAATAAATTAACATGTTTTGTAGTTATAATATCTGAGATAAAATTCAGTTTCATTTAAAAGTAATTGATTGATTACGTTAAATAGAAGAAATAGTGTATGTAGGGATTTATATAATTTTTTTCATCATAGTCGCTTTATTTCCAATTAGTATTGAATCATTTAAGTGCCATCTAGTTTTACTTAGTTGATCCTGTTTACTTTGATTTATTTATTTTTCGTGTTAAAGGAAATATTATGTTTTTGTGGATATTAGATTTCGCAAAGTCTGCATACAACTCTTTAGAAAATTTGTACTCCCTTGAACATTTCAATTCATGGTTAACCTTACATCCTTGGAATCAACTGAAATTGGTATCACAAGAATAATAATAAAACCTCAGTATTCCACTTACATATTTTAAACATGTTTTAAACTCTAACTTAACATTTACACTGTCCGTCTTGACTGAACTGAAGTTTATAAAATGTATATGAAGGAAATTTATTGATCACTCTTTACAAGATTATCAATAAATACAAAAAGCTATCTTTAGTTCTGAGGAGTTTTATCAAGACTAATACATTGTTTTGGTGGTATAGTAATTATTTTAAGACTAATACATGAAATAGTTGGCACTGGATATTAAGCAAGCAACAATCACTCAATCAAGACTAATACATATTTTTGCAATATATTTACTGATATTAGTCTTCTTATACATTGCGGTTGATATAAAAGACAAAGTGTGAATATTCACCTTTTTTTTTTCTTTTTTTTTTTTATCAAAGAAGTTATTTTGTTTAGCCAAACTGTAGTGCCTTATTATTCCCTGGGTGATGCTTACACATTTGAATTGCTATTGCACCTTTAATATAAGATCTTTCTAACTTTTGTTGATATATTTTCTTAAAAAAAGTTTTTAGATTTGAACTTAGTATATAGTGACAATCCTTAAAGAGATGACATGCAATAGTAGCTTCAGTATCGAAACAAAAAAACATGAAAACCACGATTTAAAATGAATTTAGCGACTTTTTATCGTTTGATAATGAGCTACGCAATTTAAAAATGCATTGGATTCTTTTTATTGTTTATTTCTTCTTTGTATTTTAAAACTTGTTATTACATGTTGATTGATAATATATGTTGTTATTTTCATATCATAATCAGTACTGTAAATATATATACGAAAGTATGTCTTGACCAAGTTTTGTTATGTGTTTTTTTATGTATCAATTTGATTTATACTAAATTTGGGGGTTAAATGACAGAATTAATAATTCTGAATTATTTGTATCAAGATTATATGTTTTCATTTGTTATATTTGAAAGTTTATCAAGAAGGGAGACAATCTTTAAAATTAATCAAGACTTTATTCAGATTTCCAAGTGTTAAATGAAATGTTATTATTGTATAATTTAAAGTATTTCTTTCCAAAATAAAACTAATGCAATGCTCATTTTGTTTAATTGATATAGACACATTTTTAAGAAAGTGATGTTTGCTATCAAAGGACTTTCTTAGCTAGGATTTCCTGACCTCTGTCCTAATTGTTGGAATACAAAAAATTGAATAAAAAGTCAAAAATATTATTATTACATAAAAATGCATAGAATATAACCAATAATGATGATAATTATAAGATTAATTATTATTATTAGTTTTATTATTAAGATAATAAATAATATTTATCTAATAATTGTACACTTAAACTTAACAAACATAACCCTGAAAAATATAACTATGTTTTATATTAGAATTGAACAAATTATTTGTAAATAGTGACAAGTAAATATAATTGATAAAAATCATTACATATTTTTGAGTTAGTTGAATTTGAAGTGTCACAGTTTCATACTTTACAAAGTTCAAAGGCAAATCTTGTACATCTTTCATATAGTGCAGTGACAAATCAAGAAAAATTTGCTTATTTTTATACGACCGCAAAAAAATTTTTGTGGTCGTATATTGGTATGACGTTGGCATCGTCGTCGTCGTCGTCGTCCGAAGACACATTGGTTTTCGCACTCTAACTTTAGTTTAAGTGAATGGATCTCTATGAAATTTTACCACAAGGTTCAATACCACAAAAGGAAGGTTGGGATTGATTTTGGGGGTTATGGTACCAACAGTAAAGGAATTAGGGACCAAAAAGGGGCCAAAAATAAGCATTTTTGTAACTTCCAGACATAACTTGTGTGTTAGTGTATGGATCTCTCTGACATTGTACCACAAGGTTCCATATCACAAAAGGAATGCTGGGATTGATTTTGGGGGTAATTGCCTCAAAATTTTAGGAATTAGGGGCCAAAAAAGGGGCAAAAAACAAGCATTTTTCTAGTTTCATGACAATAACTTGTGTGTCAGTGTATGGATCTTTCTGAAATTGTACTACAAGGTTCCATATTACAAAGGGAAAGCTGGAATTGAGTTTGGGGGTAATTGCCAAAATGTTTAGGAATTGGGGGGCCAAAAAGGGGCCAAAAATAAGCATTTTTCTAGTTTCCAGACAATAACTTGTGTTCAAGTGTATGGATCTCTCTGAAATTGTACTGCAAGGTACGATACTACAAAGGGAAGGCTGGGATTGATGATGGGGGTAATTGACTCAATATTTTAGGAATTAGGGGCCAAAAAGGGGCAAAAAACAAGCATTTTTCTAGTTTCAGGACAATAACTTGTGTGTAAGTGTATGGATCTTTCTGAAATTGTACTACAAGGTTCCATATCACAAAAGGAAAGTTGGGTTTGAATTTGGGGGTAATTGCCCTAAACGTTTAGGAATTTGGGGCCAAAAAAGGACAAAAAACACATTTTTCTAGTTTCCAGACAATAACTTGTGTTCAAGTGTATGGATCTTTCTGAAATTGTACTGCAAGGTACCATACAACAAAGGGAAGGCTGGGATTGAGTTTGGGGGTGATGAATCATAAGGGGGTTCAAAAAATTTGGGGGGGGGGGATATTTTTTTTTTCCTTTTTTTTCTTTTTTTCTTTTTTTTTTTCTTTTAAAATTTTCCATTTTAAGTTGGTTATTTCTGATTTATATTTAAAAGCAAATAATAATGATATGGTAGGAGATACACACCAAAGAGGATGTGTAAATTATTATATAATAAGTAATGTGCAATAGCAAGAAATTTTCAATTGCACAGTATTGCACAATAGCAAGAAATCTTCAATTGCACAGTATTGCGCAATAGCAAGAAATCTTCAATTGCACAGTATTGCGCAATAGCAAGAAATATCCAATAGCACAATATTGCGCAATAGCAAGAAATTGTCAATTGTACAGTATTGCGCAATAGCAAGAAATATTTAATTGCACAGTATTGTGCAAAAGAAGATACTTTGTATAAATTGCTTATTTCTTGACCAATTTCAATGGGGTTTTATTCTTGAATTCTTGGGGTTCTTTAATATGCTGAATCTAACCGTGTATTTAGTTTTTGGATTTTGGGCCCCGATTTTAAATTGGTCCACATTGAGGTCCAAAGGGTCCAAAATTAAACTTTGTTTGATTTCATCAAAAATTGAATTATTGGGGTTCTTTGATATGCCGAATCTAACCGTGTATTTAGATTCTTAATTTTTGGTTCCGTTTTCAAATTGGGCTACATTAAGGTCCAAAGGGTCCAAAATTAAACTTAGTTTGATTTTAACAAAAATTGAATTCTTAGGGTTCTTTGATATGCTGAATCTAAATATGTATTTAGATTTTTGATTATGGGCCCAGTTTTCAAGTTGGTCCAAATCGGGGTCCAAAATTAAACTTTGTTTGATTTCAACAAAAATTGAATATATGGGGTTCTTTGATATGCTGAATCTAACCATGTATTTAGATTTTTGATTTTTGGGCCCCGTTATCAACTTTGTCCACATTGAGGTCAAAAGGGTCCAAAATTAAACTTTGTTTGATTTCATCAAAAATTGAATTCTTGGGGTTCTTTGATATGCTGAATCTAACCATGTATTTAGATTTTGGATATTGGACCATAATAGGTGAATTCATTCTGTGTCAGAAACCTATGCTGTGTCAAATATTTAATCACAATCCAAATGCAAAGCTGTATCAAGCTTGAATGTTGTGTCCATACTTGCCCCAACTGTTCAGGGTTCGACCTCTGCGGTCGTATCAAGCTGCGCCCTGCGGAGCATTTTATTAGAGTTTAATGAACCGACTTACCTCACAGCTGAAAATCCACATAAGGATAGAGTAAACATTATACTATCATTTTAGCCCTGTCATACAGTTTACCTATGGTGCAGATTTTTATAAAATCGTGATTAGTGTGACTTTTTCTTGTTTTTCATGATCTGACATAGGAACAGTTATTTATAATTAATTCTGGATTGATGATTTCAACAATATTTTGCTTAAACTTAATATCATAGGACAGTACATACATGTATAGAATCAATTGCATAAGGCATTTTTATCAATTTTACCATCTGTCTAAGTGTAATAAATTTCTTTCATATTGCATTCGTAGTCAAAATCACAAAAAATATCAGAACAACCAATGCCCTAAAGGTTTTATATACAAAAATTTGACAGAACATACAGATTTAACTTTTAGACTAAAAGGCACTGTATTCAGCTTGCATTGTCAGTTACTTACTGAACCGTGAGAAAGGAACCTGTTCCTGATGCTTTACATGACTGAGCATGATGTTGCTTTTCAAAGGCTAACAGAAATTCAATACCGGTAGGATGATCTGTTTGTGAAATAGAAATCATTTTGATGTGTTGTTGCTAGATATGTTTGTTCCATTCTTTCAGAGTAAAATGATAGCAAGTATACAACTGCTTAATTACAAGTGCAAACTAGAAAATGATTTTTGTTGAGCCTGCAACTTCTGTCGCAGAAAGCGAGACATAGGGATAGTGATCTGGCGACGGCAGCATTAACTAACTTCTTTAAAAGCTTAATATTTCAGAAGGTAGAAGACCTGGATGCTTCATACTTTGTATATATATTATCTTATGAAGTTTCCATCTGTCATATGTTCATTGTCCTTGACTTCATTTTCATGGTTCAGTGACTACTTGAAAAAAAAGTTAGGATTTCTCTTTTATTATGAGTAATAGGATAACTATATTTGGTATGTACTACCTTGCCAGGTCTTCATGCCTGTCAGACAGATTTCACTTAACCTCAACCTCATTTCATGGATCAGTGAACAAGGTTAAGTTTTCGTGGTCAAGTCCATATCTCAGATACTATTAGCAATAGGTCTACTATATTTGGTGTATGCAATGATTGTAAGGTGTACATGTCCAACTGGCAGGTGTCATCTGACCTTGACCTCATTTTCATGGTTCAGTGGTTAAAGTTACGTTTTTGTGTTTTGGTCTGTTTTTTCTAATTCTGTATGCAATAGGTCAACTGTATTTGGTGTATGCAATGATTGTAATGTGTACATGTCCGTCTGGCAGGTTTTATTTGACCTTGACCTCATTTTCACAGTTCATTGCTCAATGTTAAGTTTTTGTGTTTTGGTCTTTTTTTCTTAAATTTTAAGCAATAGGTCAACTATATTTGGTGTATGGAATGATTTTTATGTGTGTGTGTCGGTCTGACAGGTATCATCTGACCTTGACCTCATTTTCATGGTTCATTGGTCAATGTTAACTTTTTTCTGGTTAAGTTTGTTTCTTAGATATTATGTGCAATAGGTCATCTATATGTGATGCATGGAATGATTTTCAGGTGGACATGTTTGTCTGGCAGGGTTCATCTGACCTTGACCTCATTTTCATGGTCCATTGGTCAACATAAAGTTTTCAGGGTTTGGTCTGTTTCTTGTATACAAAAACAATAAGTCAATTAAATTCAGTGTATGGAATGATTGAAAGGTGTACATATATTTCTTGCTTGGTTTATCTGACCTAGACCTCATTTTTCTGGATCATGTTAAGTTTATTTGATACTCGTAGTAAAACTTCATATTTAGGACTAACAACATAAAATCAATGGTCAGTAAAGCAGGTGAGACATTTCAGCGTGTGCACACTTGTTGGATTCTATAGTGGTTCAGATTTTTAAAAAATACAATGGGAATCAAATATGATTTGATAGTATCCAACTTTGTGTTTACGAGGTTATTCGCTCATCCAGCTGAAAGCCGATTTGAAATTTCAGAAATAGAAGCAAGTTTTTTTAATAAACCCGCACCTCAAAATTTATAAAATCTAGCTGGTTCAGATATTGACACGTCAATTTGAAGATAATTTATAGCTAATATGTATGACACAGAGTCAAAAACCATACGTGGTGATCTCAATGCCATGAGTGAAGTCATAGTTTTGGAAAGTTGCTTCTTTAGTGAAACTACCTCCAGCTCCTGCATTAGTAAAACAACAAATTCTTCAAGTACCACTTCTCCATGATTGCTTATATTATCAAACCACCATCCAGATCACCTTTGGAGTATGAATTTAAAATGGGGAATATAT